TATCACGGTGATGCGGACATATTGTTAAGAACTGGTGCGAAGTATCCAATGCGAAAATCCCTTAAATTTGAATTCAAGGTAGTAGGTTCAATGTTGCGTGACGCTAAGCGATAATCATTTTCATTACTTACCGGCCCTTGCCAAAAGAAGTGTTTGTTCATCTTGAACAAAATTGTCCGTCGCAAGTTTGCAATTTGTGAAGTGTGGAGACACATCTCTATTACAGTCTTTAAACGCAACGCATTTAAAGTCCTCCGGGTTCTTCCAACTTGATCCACATGGTGTGGGGTTATTTAGCAAAAGCGAATAGCYGCACGAAGYCATCTWTGAACGCGCTACATACAACTGTTGCMGATTACTGATACTGTTGGCTTATCACTGACTTCGGGAAATGTATTGAGCAATGTATTGAGTTTTACAAGTCACGTTCTGTGACGTCTACGTTTAATAATGTGGAAATGTTACCAAAAATGGTCAACTTGAAATCAACTGAATTGTGCAATCAACTTTACCGTAGTAGTACCGGCAAATCCTGTTACTGTTGCGTGACTCACGTAACGTTGTTGTTTGGCAATATAATATAACTTGCTTGATTACCTATGATTTTAGTTTTATCTGGCAAGATTTAATAACAACAACACAGTTATGTTTCTTCCTCCTAGTGATAATAAAATAAATGCAACCACGCAAGAAAGTTTTGCGCTCTTATCCCCATGTCCTCCCCAGCCTCCCCCCCCCCCTCGGATCGGTTATGATTTGTTACTATTGTTATTACCTATATGAAGTTGGAGTTTACAACCTACTTAAACGATGTTATAAAGTTAAGAACCATATTTTACAGTATGGCATGTGTAAATGACTGCGGTTTCAATGTTTACTACAAAAGTATCRTGTAGATTTCATAGACTTTCACCGACTATCTACTAGAAATCATTATTCAGTGGATTTGACTGAGAGATCGGTAACTATTCCGGTGATGCAAGTGTAAGTAAGATGATTACTTGATTGTGTCCCGTTAGATGCTAGATAGACTCTAATTTCAGTATTAAATTTAGAGCAATGTTAACGTACAAACTAGTATTGAGTAGTACTNAGAGCTGAAATTTTTCAGGGAAGTAGTTTTATAGTTGTAAAATACGATGTGAGATTTTGGATTTCGTAGAATATTTTCCTCTGATACGAGAAGTTGTTAAAAATGCACTATTTTTCATCAATTTCACGCGCCATCGGGCACCGTCAGACGGCAAATTCAACTTCCCTCGATTTCGTCAAAAATAAAAATCGGCCAAACCTTAAAATGTGATTTTCGAAAAGAGTTCACCCAAAGGGTCTTTTAGGCAAAATATGACAAATTTTTTTTTTACACAACTGTCGGACGATTCTCGATTTTTACCGGCAGTCGCTCTTAAATGCATACCAGCCATGAATTATTGCTCCATAGCAAATACCATTTGTGATAACACCAATTAACTTAACTTACTCAGGCAAAAGCTTTTGCACTATGAAGGTCAGCGTTCAATTATATTTGAGCATGTTCAAGTATGGGACAGTCACTTTATTATTGCATGTATTGTAGAAGCCATCGGAAAACTCGTAGAATTGAAACTTGGACACCAGAGAAAAGATAAGTATAACTTGTATCTCACACGCTCGAAATCGATGATGTTGTAACTCGGTCGTTTAAGGTCATGCACGTACCGTACTTTATTATCTCCTTAGMAAACATTCCATGCGCTCTTTCGATGTCGTTCGTATCTTTTCTTATTACATTGCAAAACCTCACATGATCTAGACAAAGTCTCGAAATTATTGTGTAAGAATTCGTGGTGAYCACGTGTTCAATTTAGACGTGGTTCGATCGATGAAGTTTACGTTATTATTCTTAAAGCCTGAAAATTTTAATRCATAAGAAACGTGGCGCAACACTGGGTGCAAGAGCAGAAGGAATTTCCATATTAATTGGCTATGCCTTAAAAGAATATCTCTAATGAAGAGCATTATAATACGTCCAATATGGACTATTGTGAAAGTCAAAAGAAGACTTATATGAAGTCATACATGTAGCTAGTGAAGAAAACAAGCCCTTATTTAAATGTCTTTTAATTTCGAGAACACTGTCCTCAAAACAGCGTATTTTAGTTCATCTTCACAAAGGCCATGTCAGGAGTAAGTAGCATGAAAAGTATTAGTTTTATAATCATTAGTAGTAATAAATTAAGAAGAATTTTTTCTGTCCAAAAAACGTACATATAATTTATATCGAAATTTAGATATTGACATTAAACTTTAGTTTAACTGGTGATTTTCCCGGTTCTATAAAAGGAGTCAAAAAGCTTTACTTAAGTGACCCAAGCATCCCAGTACCGAAGCGTGCACTTTATTCATGGAAAGCAAGTGGGCGTGTGGATCATGTAGTTCAAGAAAAAATGAAAGACGTTGAGAACCATCCTAATGTCAAAGCTAGTTTTTCAGGTATTGAAGTTGATGGATCAACATGCGACTACCAATWATTAGCACACATGCAATCACATGCAAATCCACCAGTATGTGATACAGGAAATGAACATTTACCAGACACATGCTTGCCTATGCCAACAARTAATGAATCTGATATTGTAATGTTCAATAATTTTGAAAGAACATGCAGCTTTGCTGAGTCTGATACAGAAAGTGATACATGTAGATCATCTCTCTCAATTTCAGAGAGTGAAAGTGAAGATGATAGCTTAAGTGAAGACTCTAGTGATAATGACTCCCTTTCATTAGATGAAGAACACTTAGGTACTGCTAACAAATTTGAATATTCATATCAACAGCTTCAAACTTTATCTATAGTTTCATTTATTTTAAGACATAATTTGACAGGTGTTGCAGTAAATGATTTGCTATCACTTTCTAAATTAATTTCTCCAGAATTCTCAAYTCTACACGAAAGTGAGAAGTATGAAGATATGTTAGGAAAGGTTGATCATAATGTCAATTTTAAGTGTATCATTGTTGCCCCTGTTGCGGGAGTGTTTTCCCAGAGTCCCCAGATTTTTTTAAATGTGAAATACCAAACTGCAAGGGATATCGGTACAAGGGTAACCTCTCTTCTCAGTCCAAGCGAACTCGTCAGCCATGTTTTTTTTGTTGTTTCTGATTCGAAATTACAGCTTAAATATCTCCTTAAACAAGATGGGCTGCTAGAAGCTATGCTAGATTGTAAGCATAGTGCCAAAATGAGAAAAACAACCGATTCTCAAACAGTAATTTCAGACATAACTGATGGTGAGTACTACTGTATGCTGTTAGAAACGTATGCAAACGTATGCAATCAGTGCCATTTTCAACACTAATAGAATTCCCTTGTAATCATCGTCAAAGGTAAAGCTATCGATCCCGGACAAAACYGTCGAGACATTTCTTGAAATAGATTGAATTTCGATGACCTATCGGCGGACAAAACTGTCSAGACATTTCTTGAAATAGATTGAATTTCGATGACCTATCGGCGTATTTCTGTAAAAAATCTCCCCCTTTCCCCCTCAAATCAATGTTGAAGGGACTGAATATTCATGTAYACCCTTGTAGCATCACGTTTGACACACAACATTGAACTGTGGGGGGAAGGGAGGATCAGAAATAGTGACCTTTTAGAAAGATGAGAATTTGGGAGTATTTCGGCGCGAAAAATGTCACTGTCTCAACAGGTTTTGTCCGAGAAATCTTTCAGTTTCCAAGATTTCCTAGACAGACCATGGTAAACCATGTTCAAACATGGTCATGCTATGGTGGGTTAAATCCTGGAATTACCACCAATTAATTTATGAAATCATGACAACTTAGCTATATATTGTTGCTAGTTGTGTGATGTTACTTATTGATGCCCAGCGGCTTATTCTCGTACCAGACGTCGTCTATCTCTGTTACAATGGCTTTTGGGTGCTGGTAGAAAGCACTTTGTTTTGGGTTCAGCTTGGTCATGTATTTWTCCATACACCAGTACGAATCGCCAATTTCACCTGTTGAATACAGTCGCGTTTCCTTCTCGTGGCTTGGTTTTTVAACAATACCACCCTGGTGGTTTTTGGTCTGTTCGTTGTGTGTCATTATCACATATTGATGACCATCTGCATCGGTTTGGAACTTGGAGCTATCACGGCAAAGCTCTCGTTGTCCCTCGCATCCSCGTCTGCACCAATATAGCGTGACAATAAACCATACGCGGCGAAGTAGACCTGCAGCGTCGTTGTAACTCAAGAATGGACTTTTCTGAAGCTTCTGGATGTCTGTCTCTTCAATCACTGGCTTGTGTTCCACTTTCTGCTTTCCTTCTTTGCGGTTGACCTTTAGCTTACTCTCTAACATTTTGTTGGACCTTGCGAACCGAGGRTTGTTGGCAATCTTGATGTGTCGATCGTGAGAAACCAAGTACCTTTCCACAGCACTTCTAAAGCCCAGGAGTGAGGAACGACTATACTCTTCACCGTTCTTTGTTCTGGCTTCTGCATAAAACCATCTGAGGGTAGAATCGATTTGTTTGTCGCTCATCAAGGCTAAACGGGACGGGGCGACAACGCGAAGTCGACACCATTCTTCAGAAAAACAAAAACAAAAAAAAACAAAAGCAAAGAAAACGAGTGAGTAAAATACTATAAATTGTCGCATTTTCAAACAAAGAAATTACCTTCAATTGTTGACACTATCCATTTAGTGTTTCTTTTTGTTCCCTTCGCCTCTGCATTTGTAACTATCTCTCCTAAATCTTTTTCGTTCAGTGTTGCAAAACGAGATTTTGCGGAGTCAGGATTCACTTCAGGTTGAACACTTTCGATTTTTTCCACTTCGTTGAGCAGGTCATCGTCATTTAGTGTGTTTGCATTAAAAAAGTTAAACGTGGGAAATGCGGGAAAATCCATGTTTTCCTAGTGAACAAATTTTTTCCACAAAGAAAAAACATGCACTCGAGAAAGTACGCGTCATTGCCATTGTCTAAACTGTCAGTGACAATAGCTCTCGACCAATCAGCGCGCGAGAAATCTACAAGGTATTATAAAAAAAAATATTTACCATAGTTTGAGTTCACCCGAACTTTTGTAATTGTGGCTTTTCCATTCTTGAATTTAGGGTACACCACATTCACTTGCTCGCTCCCATCTTCTTTTTTCTTTGCATCGCGGTAGAGATTGAAATTAAAATGTGCTGCGGCAATTATGTGCCTTATAGGAATTAACAAGAGCAAATTGTAAAAAAAATTGAAAAGCAAAAAGGTAATGTTACATATCAATCAATTGATTGCTTGCAAAGTAGCACTAAATTATGGTCATGATTTGATTTCTTTGAACTTTACAATCTAATTCACAAGTATACTGGTTGTACTCTATCACAGGTTGTTGTCTATCTCGGAGTCATCCGCCTAACTAACAGATTGTCATTTAGTCATATAGATTGCTTTGACCCATTTGTGGGTGATTTCTTTAGATTTTGTTCACATTTAAGTTTCAAACATGCAGTACATTCCCTGATAGCCGTATGCAAACWTTTTTGGAGCATACTGGTTTATCACAGAATGAAATTCTTCAATGCAGCTAGTTTGTACAGTTGGTGAGGCCTTCTATATGCCATTCACAAGGAAAGTTTTCTTTAGTGCACCAAATCTTTATCATACATCTTAGTAGAACGATTTAACATAACGATACAAAATAGGTTGCAAATAGGTTTATTTTATGCAAAATGAATTCATGTAATCATGTAATACAGACTGTATTCTCTCACGTATTGCAKCTTTTTGCTACTTTATATTATCATTACATCACAAAAAAACACGAACATTTCCTTTTCCGAGYAGACTTGACATGCTTCAGTCTTTGTGCCAAGCTTTGCTATAATTTCTATCATAGCACATGCAAAACTGTACCATGCAGCATCTAGTACAAGCTTAGCTTCAAATATTTTCAAAAAGGTTGACACCTCTTTCGGCAAAAATTACCAAAAGATCAATGGCAGGCGGTAGTAACCACCTAGGGTGTCTCTTGCGTGTGAACCGCTTTTTTGAGAAAGCCGAGCAAAGGCTGGCCAACAAAAAGTCAAGTCCGTAATTATATTTGGACTCAATAAAAACTGTTTTGCTCGTGATGAATAACAATAAATCTAATTATAAGATAGGAAACAATGATGTAATAAGTGAGAAAATGAAGCGTGTATTGCATCATCACATGAGTTTATTTTACAGTCAATAAAATTGCATAAGATAAACCTATTTGAATTTATTGTATCGTTATGTGAAATCGTTCTGCTGACGTAAACACTCTTTAGATTATTAAAAAATGAATAAAACGACAACATAAGCAGCCAAAATGGCACAAATAAAACATTTTGCTTTTACAAACATTCCAACGTGCACTCTAAGGAAAAACACTTCGTAAGGCGAAAAAAAAAATCAAAACATTTTTGTGTCTAGTTTTTGCAAACAAGGACAACAATTTGATACAAGCTTTTCTCRTGGTTTACTGTGTATTAGCATAAATTGATCATCTTTAGCATTTTTTATCCGGTTATGTGAAATCGTTCTAGCGAGCTTGAGCGCATGTTTGTCTTAGAAATGCTACCAAAAGTGCAAGGGGAATGACTGGGATATCGTTGTTGCGCTGTGCAAGGCAATAGTCAAGACTGGCCTCMCAGATCGAGTTGTTCAGTTTTACTTTGAGAGTGATAATGAACAATTAATCACGAGACTGAAAGGGATAATCAAAAAGGCCACACTGATCCAGTACACACCACAGCACAGTGCAAATCAATTCGGTGTAGAAATTGTGACAGAACGACCAGAACCAGAAGATCAATAATTCAACACAAGAGTTAGAAATTAAATACATAGGCAGAAGACGCCTAAAGAGAGGAGAAAGGATGCCGTGAAGACAAATCTTGAGTTTGATTTTGAATGTYATTTAAAACATTTCTATACGTCAAATAAGTTAAGCGTTCATCAATATCCTCGTTGTTCCACATGTAAAATCGTGTAATGTGTATTAGCATAAATTGATCCTCATTATCATTTTTTTATCCGGTCATGTGAAATCGTTCTAGTATTTAAATGAAAATCAGATCAAAAAGTAATGATTAGTATATAGGAGAGTAATATTTTGTTCCCTGCATTGTACCAGGAAATGATCGTCAAAAGATCTCTGTGCTTCATCAAGAAATGGAGCGTCTTCTGAAATATCGTCTACACTGTCCATCTCTGTGACATTCAGTTGCAAACCAGCGTCACTTTCTTTCAAAATATCCCTCACAATCTAAAATAGAGCGTTTTCACACACGTGACACATTTTTTTGAAATTACGTCATTTGTTGCTAAGCAACTTTAGTGTCTGCCACTTCTACTGTGTTCCACTTCAATGTCTGTTACACAGGAAATCGTTCAGATCTTCAATAAAACACTGATTATTTCGTATGTTTACCACTGAATATGTAATTATCGCCATGGTTTTATGCTTAATGGTTGGATGTGGGAATAAGAGTGGGAAAAAATCAAATAAAGACACAGAAAAGGTCCGTTTTTCTCGCGTCCCTCGAGTGGTTACAAATCAAGGAGACCAATTCGAGGAACTTACCGCTACAAGAAGAAGAATGTGGATTGCTGCGATAAGTCGCCAATATATAATAGAAGCTAAGCTTAATTCTGATCGTGTTTGCAGTAAGCACTTTGTGTCTGGTCAGGCAGCAAAAGATTGGGATCGTTTAAATGTTGACTGGATTCCTACGCTAAATCTTGGCCATTCTAAAAAACAACTCACAACTAACGAGGCAGAGCTTAAGRCAGAGAGGCTTGATCGACGAAAACGTCGACAAGAGGTCATCGAGAAATTAAATCAAAACTAAATTAAAAAATATATATCGGAGCCTGGAGAGAAAGTTGGGGATATTTTCAAACAAACTAAGGACTGTCCCCTACTTGAGGAAAGCCAAGTTCAAGATGGCGGAATGGTGGTGGACGAATCCTTTGAAGAAGAATGTTTCACAAACCATAAAGTAACACAGACAGAAACTACTGAATCTGAGACGCAAACTTCAGATCCTCAAACTTCTGAAATGGAGGTACAAACTGAAGAGTTCGAATATATGTTTRCCACAACAAAGGTGCAACCATTTACTCAAGATTATTTCAGASATTCAACTGAAAAMGTCAGATTTTATACAGGTTTGCCTGGTTTAGTCGATTTTGTTGCTTCACATGCTACAAGAAGGAGAAAACATTGAGCTCATTTCAGGAAATAATCCTGACTTTGATGAAGTTGAGGCTGAATGTTCCAAAACAAGATCTTGCCTTTAGATTTGATGTTTCTTTGTCTACTGTTTCAAGGTTTTTTACATCTTAGATGATTGTTCTAGATGTACGACTTTC